AGGCTGGGGAGGCACAGCTAGGGAGTGGAACAGGCAGGCCACAGGACCAGGGGACATGCCTGGGGCAGCCCTGCTGGTTGGTTGGAAAGAATGCCCGGGAAGGCGTGTCCGTGAAGAGGTGCTGGAGAGGTCAGCAGGAATCGAAGTGTGGAGGCTTGCCAGATCCAGCGAGCGGGTGTTTCTGTGGCAGACAATCTCTCTCTTCCACAGATCATGATGGAATGTTTCGAGGCTGGAGGAGGACACTCAGCATTCCAGAGGATCCTGGACAAAGTCAGAGAGGAGAGGGTGCACGTTCCGACGGTTGTGTCCCTGTTGCGGCTGTACCAGGATGCTAATCCCGCTGTAAAAGCAGCGCTAGTAGGGAGGACACTGGAAGCCGTGGAAGGAGCCCAGCCCAAAGGTAGGAGAAGCCCCGGCCACCCAGATGCTGGAATTCGATCCTGGGAAGATACTGTCAAGTTTTCCCAGTCATCCATTTCTGTGGTGGCTGGGCCAGTCAGCTGGTGTTCACACCAGTTCTCGATGTAATTCCAAAAGCTGCATGTGAATTATATACAAACTTAATTTGAGACTCTATCCTCACCCCCTAGTTACTAGTCTGACACCTTGGAGCGGGAGAATACCAGCCTTGTTCTCCTGCCCTTCAAAACGCCACGCGTCCTCATCAGTGAGTGCGTGCCCAGGGTGAGGTGCTTTGCCGACAGCACTCAAAGGCCGGAACTTCTCTCACTTGGGTTAGGTACAAAGCAGTGGCCTCGCCAACCAGAAGTTAACCTCTGGCTGGCTCTGCAGCTTTGTGTTTCGACAGATAAATGAAACATTTTTTCCTTTCATAGAGTTTAAACAGAATAATAAAGTATTTTCCTCTGCCAAAAGAGAGCCAGCACTTGGGTGCTCAGAATAAGCTGAGAATTGCTTTCCTATTCTGTTAGATCTCTCTTGACAAACCCCGCTGTCATTTTCTTCAAATTGCCTAGCTTCTCTTGTGCGTCTCTAACTCTTTCTCCCCCAGGGAGCACAGAGGAGGGAAAGACCTTGTCCATTCTGTTGCTGGAGCACAGAGAGGACCTGATACAGTGTGTAAAGCAGCTGAGACCTATTGTGGAGTTCCTGGAAACAGCCAAGGAAGGATTCCTGACTGGCGCTGAGAAGAGGGTAACTATGTGGCTGATCTCTTCCCCCTTCTGAACCCACGGGGAACTTGGCTTTTTCAACTCTTGTGGCACATGAGGAGCCCTGATGGACAAATGGTTAAGGGAATCGAGAGGGCAGCAGTTCAAAGCCAGCAGCCACTCTGTAGGAGAAAAATTAGGCCATCTGCTTCCTTGAAGACGGGCAGTCTTGGAAACCCCAGGGAGCAGTTAGGCACTGTCCTGTAGGGCTCCTATATTGAAATAATGACTTGATGGCCATGGGTTTGGGTTTGGGGGTGGGGTGTTAGTGGGGAGGGCATGCAGCACTATAGCACGTATTACCTTGCAGTATTTTTATCCATGCCTAATAATCACCCCCAAACGTGGGATTCCTGTGCTTGCCTCCGCATTTCCCTTGAGGCGGCTTGTTCTGAGGGCCTTTTACACTCTCACCATGTGGCACATAGTAGGTGGCACTCCTGCCCTGACGTGGTGAGCTTTACCATAAAGCACTGCACTCGAGTTCTTTTGTTAAAGCGCATTTGTAATGGTTATGACACTTTTCCTCGTTATAAAAATGGCACCCTGTTCATCTGTAGAAGATGTGGAAAATAAGCAAACATTTTTAAAAAGCAAACCTCTCCCAATCTCGCTGCTCAGGGTTGACCCCGCCGACATTGGAGTGGGTGCCCCACCTCTTTCACTGGTGTCACCCTGGGCAGGAGCTGCTCCAAAATATTCCTTCTCGGAACTTGGTTTTTAGAATGTAATACTTCGTGCATACGTCTTCCTGCCCGTAAGATGGACTCGTGGCTATACTGTGTTCTGTCTACTGGATGGGCCATCATCCACTGTTTCTTCTCTCGTGGTGCATGAGCAGCCTGGAGGGAACACATGGCTAAGCGCTTGGGCCTAAAGGGAAAGTGGACAGTGCAGGCCCAGTGTCGGCTGTCTTTGGATCACACTGGCGAGAGATCTTCGCCCGCAGCCCTCTGTGCACCTCCCACATTGTTCCCTCAGAAGGGTCCCTAACGAGTACCGTTTGGGGAGAAGAAGCCCCAGTGTGTGTGCACGCTGCTGGATTGCCCTTCGTGAAGCTTGGGCCAATTTCAATTTGCTCTCCCCCAGCTAGTTAGCAACACCTCCCGAAAACCGCTACCATGACTCCTCAGGGCAACTGGAGAACTGTATTTGCTGGAATTATTGATTTCAGCTTTGTGCTAAAGAAATGTTTTTGATATATCCGGAAGGCAGGACAAGGGGTAGAGAACTTTTGTGGCATTGGTTTTTAAAACCGTAGAAATTGGCTACGAGATTCACAAGAGACCCTGTTTCAACATGGCTGGCGGCGACCAACAGTGAGGACTGGATTCTAGGTTATCTTTTCCTCAGAATATGCGGTTGCCGGGCTGTTTGTTGTTTTTTTTAATTATTTTATTGAGGGCTCGTACAATTCTTATCACAGTCCATACATACATCCATTGTGTCAAGCACATATGTACATTTGTTGCTCTCATCAATCTCAAAACATTTGCCTTCTACTTTAGCCCTTAATATCATTTGCTCATTTTCCCCCTCCTTCGTGAACCCTTCATAATTCACAAATTATTATAGTTTTGTCATAAGTTACACTGTTCGACGTCTCCCTCCACCCTCTTCTCTGCTGTCCATCCCCCAGGGAGGAGGCTATACTTAGATTCTTGTAATTGGTTCCCTCTTTCTACCCCACATTCCCTTCACCCTCCAGGCCTCGCCCCTCTCACCACTGGTCCTGAAGGAGTCATCTGCCCTGGATTCCCTGAGTTTCCAGTTCCTGTCTATACCAGTGTACATCCTCTGGTCTGGCCAGATTTTGGTTGCTGGGTTTTTTTAATGTAAAATGGAAACAACCATTAATTTCAGAATTGTGCTTTGCAAGCTAATTGTGTCTTTAAAATTGCAAGTACTTTGAACTTCTTAGAGGAAGATAATATTGCAATAAGATTCAATCTCTCGTTTTCTTCTTCGCCTTCAAATGAAGTCTGATTTCAGACACTCGGTGGGAGTCAGTTGCATAAGCTCTGGACACACCGGATTCTGCTTGGTGATTTCATTCCACAACGCCTTCAGGCCTTTTCGTTATTAGCTAGATCGTGTCCTTTGAACTGTTTCATTGTCTCGGTCGTTTATCGGCCAAGCCCACACACAGCCTCATTGCAGACAGACTGCAATGTCATTTTCTTCTGTCACTTTCAGTTTACTTGACAGGACAGGCCGAAGCAGAAAAACTCAAATTAGTTATAAATCACAGAAGCAGTTCTGGGGCCTGGACTTCCCCACACCCAGCTTCATTAAAGTCCTCCTCCTCCTCCTCACTAAAACAGGCGCAGGCTCTCCAGCGGCAGGGCAGAGGTGGGTGCTCATTCACGAGCCGTAGTGTTGACACCATGTGGAACAAGCACGTGAGGTTGAGGGTTTTCTGCTGTGAAAGCGTGCTGATCCTGGCTCTGTGGTCCTTATCCACAACCCTTGGATTCTGTAAGAGTGGGCAACCAGGAATGTCTTTAAGATCGGAAACAGAGAAATATGCACTAGAGCTGCCATTTTTATTCTGTAATGTGTGCCCAGCAATGTGCTGAGGATCTTAAACATGGTTAGATTTAATTCTCACAGCAACTTTTTGACTAATACCCTAATTCTAAAGATGACTAAACAGAAGCTTAAAGAGTTTAAGCAGTTTCCTCAGAGACCCACAGAAGCTGAAGGCTGGCACTGGGCAGGGTCCCATGATTCGAATGAAAGCACATTCTCTTACCCACAATGCCCGCTGCCTCCTAGTACTATCAGTAAGCACTGCCGTGTACAAAAGGTCACGTAGGTCCCAGGAGCCATGCTAGGCTCTGCAAACTGCACCCTCGTTTTACAGAGTCCTGTACAGGACTGAAGGAGCCCTGCTATTTAGTAGTTGCCCCTTGGGCCGAGATCCTTAAGGTCAGCAGTTCAAAACCACCAGCTGTTCTGAGGGAGAAGGACGGGGCTGTCTACGCCCATCAACAGTTGCCGTCTCAGGGTTGCTCCGGGTCGGCATGGCCTCGTACTGGCAGTGAGTGCAGAGGGGGGTGATTTGGATTGTCCTCTTCCTTTGCCGGTGAAGTGACGACGGTTTAAAGATTTAAACCGCTTGCCCAAGGTCACAGGCAGTTCATTTTAGAACTGGGTTCCAGCTAGGTTCATCTGGATCTAAAGTCTCCGATGGCGGCTCTTAACAGTTTCTGCCTGCCTCGTCACGTCAGATTATTGCTCAAGAACTCCATCTTTAGCGCTATGGTTTTCAGACACAGCTCTTATATTTTAAATTACGATTCATCTAGTATAGATGAGGGGGCTTCAAAGAGTTTGTAGAAAATAGGAATGAAAAGTTAATGGGATTTTTCCACACACTTTTTGAAGCCCCCTAATACATATAACGCAGCTATTCTTTTAATAGATATGAAACCAATTTGGTTGTAAAGCTAAATTCATTATTTTAAAATGGAAGTTAATTTGGTAATGGCAGTGTCTGGCATGCTACCATGACTGATCCACTCAAATGCTTCTCCTGAGGGCTGGCATTTTCCCAAAGGGAAGCTCAAAATTCAGTTACTATGAGTCTGCTTACCCCGTCTTATCAGTTCCGTAAGAGCCGAGTTCTGCACATGGAGCTGCAATCTATGCAGAACCAACTCTGTTACAATAGGGACGTATCAGTAAAGCGTCTGTCATGTTTTCGTTTTTAACCTTTTGCTGGTCCCTGGTCCCCTTTGCCTCAGAAAGCCCTCCAGCATACTCAAGAAGAGGGGGGAGGAATTGCTGAAGGCCTCGGTCACTGACAACGAGAGGCAGAGACAATAGAATCCACTGCAAAAATAGGCCACAGCGGTTGCAGATGTATTGTTTGGGAGGCCATGGACTAATGTATGAATGATGCAGGACTGCAAATGGTTTTGCACAAGAAGTAAACTAATAGAGGTGCTCAGAAAGTACAGCCTGCACCAACCACATGTCCGTTACTAAATCGAGGGTGAAAGTCCTATATATTAATTACTTCCCCATCTGTGTTTCTCAAGTTTCGAGTCTTTTCAGAATGAAATCTGAAAAAACAGATTTGATATAAACTCCTCGCTCCATTATACAGGCTTAGTATAAACCGATTTTCACAAAGCACAGACGGTTGGAGGCAGCCAGAGTCTACACAGACCAGGGGGTGAGTAAGAAAGATCACCAGAGGGCGATTTGTTTGGAGAATGTTTTCGTTGTTTTATTAAGGCGCCATAAGGAAGAATCTATGAAAAAAGTAAACCCAGAAACTAACAGAAGACGTGGAGGCAAGGGCGCCTTGTACTACTGTCTTGCTGGGTTTTCCAGTGGTGTGTCAGATAAGTTTAGAATTGCCAGTAACTGCGTCTGCTTGATTGCTTGCCACTGCAGGTGATTCTGAATTGCTGTGAGGGGGGAGCCCCCGAGGAGACAATAGACAAGCTGCTGCACAGAGTGTCTGAAGAGAAGACCCTGACTGCGGAGAGTTTGGTAAAACTCCTTCAGGCCGTGAGAGCGACATTCCCAAACTTGGGTCTTCTGCTGGAGAATCTGCAGAAATTAGCCAGTGTGCCAAGCACCACAGGTACTCGCGTATGGCTGCCTCTCTGGCCTGGGACCACTCCGACAGAAAAGCATGGCCTCAAGCAGCCCTCTGGCGCTCTGCTGGGTAACAGGCAGTGTAGAAATGTCATTGCAAACAGAAACTCACTGTGCTAGATGCTGCTCAGTCTGCTCCCACTGTGTGTCAGCCCATGGCATTGAGGGCCATCCGCTGTTTCGCTGACCCTGTACTTTACCAAACTTGATGCCCTTCTTCAGGGATGGGTCCTTCCTCATAACATGTCCAAAGTACATAAGACAAAGTCTCGCCACTTCCCTCTGAAGGAACGTTTTGGCTGTTCCCTGACAGATGTGTTCATTCTTCCAGTAGTTCATGGTATCTTCAGCATTTCTCATCAACGCCGTGATTCAGAGGCGTCGGTTCTTCAGCGCTCCGACTTTGGCCTCCACAGGAGGTAATTGAAGATGCCATGGCTTGTTGCCTCAGGCTCTCCTGAGTCCTTAAAGTGACATCTTTGTTCTTTGACTCTTGCAGGAGGACTTGCGTGGCAGATTTGCCCAGTGCAGGGCATCGTTTGATTTCGGGTTGCCACTTCCATGAGCATTGATTGTGGATCCAAGTAAAATGAAATTCTTGGCAATTTTAATCTTTGTTTATTTTGGTGTTGCCTATTGGTCCAATGGGGAGGATTTTTGTTTTCTTAATATTGATGTGTAATCACATTGAAACTATACTCTTTAAGCTTCATCAGTCAGCACTTCAAGGCCTCTTCACTTTCAGCAAGCAAGGTTGTGTCGTCTGAGTATTGCGGGTTGTTAATGATGCTTTTTTCCAATCCTGATGCTGTCTTCTTCTTTATATAGCCCAGCTTCTTGGATTCTTTTCTCAGCGTTTGAATTTGAGTAAGCATGGTGAGAGGAGACACCCCCGAGGCTCCCCTTTCCTGATTTCAAACCCTGCAGGGTCCCCTCATGGTCCATGTGTTACACATGAGCACAGTGAAGTGTTCTGCAATTCTTGGTAATATTTCCATAATTCTAATGACCCACATAGTCAATGCCTGTGCATAGTCAGTGAAGTACAAGTAAACATCTTTGTAGTATTCTTCTCTTATCCAAGATCCATCTTGGCCACAGCAGTGATATCCCTCATCCCAATCCTCCTTAATCCAGCACGAATTTGTGGCAGTTCATGTCTATGTATTGCCGCAACCATGTTTTTTTTAACCTTCACTACATTTTGACTTGCACGTGACATTATAGATAGTCTTCGGTCACTCACGTGTCCTGTTGGACCGCCTTTCTTTGCTCTGGGCACAGGTGTGGGTCTCTTGCAGTCGCTGGGCTCGATAGCTGTCATCTCAATTTCTGGGCTTAGAGAATGAGCGCTTCCAGCGTTGCCTCCATTTGCTGAGGCATTTCCGTTGCTACTCTGTCAGTTTCCGAGCCCTGTGTTTGCATCAGTGCCTTCCGTGTCGCTCGGGATTCTTCCTTCATGACATCAGTTTGAGCATATGCCGCCGCTGAAATGGTTAAATACCAACCAGTTCTTCGTGGTATAGTGACTCTGTATTCCTTTTATCCTTTTTGCTGCTTCCTGCGTCCTTCAGTTTCTTACCTATAGACTTTTTCACTATTGCAACTTGAACCTTGCATTTTTTCTCTTGAGTTCTTTCTTCCTGGCTTTCTGACTCCAGGTCATGGTACATTTTGATAGTAATCCTTCGTCTTCTCAAGCTGCCCATTGAAATCATCTGTTCAACTTTTCAATCATCATTTCTCCATTTTTTGTAGCTATTCTATTTTTTAAGAGCAAGTTTCAAAGTCTCTTCTGACATCCAGTTTAGTCTTTTCTTTCTTTTGTATCTTTTTTAATGACTTTTTGTTCCTTTGTCTGTGGTGTCTTTGATGCCATCCCACGGCTCATCTGATCTTCAGCCATGAGTGCTTAGTGCATTAAATGTATTCTTGAGATGGCTTCCAAATTCATGTGGGATATACTTAAAGGTATTATTTTAACTCTCATCTACAGCTTCAGCCTGAACCTGCGTATGAGCATAGTTGGTCCTTGACCTTGTTCTAATTGATGGTACTGGGTGAGTTTGATTCCTGTGGATTCAGCAGTGAGGCCCCTGTGTCTAGCTGCTGTTTGTTATTTTTTTAAAAAGTCATTTGCGATGAGGAAGCCATTGGTCCTGCAGGATTCTACCGTGCAGTACGCTCTGTTTCTGTGACAGAGGCCATGGTTTCCAACTGCTAACCCTTCTTTGTTGCCAACTCTCATTTTCTAATAATCACCAGGAACCACCCATGCATCTTCATTGCATGTTTGATCAGTACCAGGCTATGTAAGTTGGTAAAAATCTTCAATATTTTTTCATTAGCACTTGGATGGAATTTTGAGTATTAGCTGTATTAAGTGATCTTCATTGTAGGCCTAGGGGTAATCCTATCACTGACACAACAGCGTGACAAACTGACAGAAGAGCGGTGGAAACAGAAGCCAGCTGTCACAAATCAATGATGCTCAGCATTTCCCGAGTTCGATGTGAAATCTGAGAACCGCTCTTCTCCATTCAGCTAGCTCCCTCATGAAGATCTTGTGATTCAGGGATCGCCGATGGGTGGCTTCCCAGGGCTGTCAGGTGTCATCTGTGAATGCTCGCGGAGCAAAAGGGCTCAGGACACAGCCAGAAAGCTCACCACTGTGACAAGCGCTGTTGACAGACAGGAGCAGATAGGTCTCAAACCGTGCTCTCCCCAGTCCTATTGAATGCTAGTTAATTTCATGAGTGCCCAGAACGCACGACCCTCCGTGTCCATCCAGCTTTGAGAAGTAAGTCCTCATCCCCTTCCCACAAAGACAATTCCCAGAGCATTTGGGATCAAGACTGAACTCTAGGAAAAGGGTATTTGGGAAACAGGAGAGGCTCTTATTCCACTTGAGGAGTAAATACATCCTTATACAATTCTAAAAAGAAATAAAAGAAAACCAACTGGAAGCCCCACCACTCAGGCATCTCAGTGTTAACCCTCAGTGTTAACCTTGGTTAACGGTATATTTAACAGTATAATATAACAGTATATTTATAGATTTATATTATATATAACAGTATATTTAACAGTATAATATACACCTTCTACCTCACATCTTAAGAAGCTCTCTTTACTGATGGTCCTGTACCTTTCCTCCTAAGGCTGTATATGAGTCATTCTTCCCTGACTTGGGGGCAGGTGGGATTAGTTGCAAGACAAGCTGCATTTGAATCCTGACACCATGAGAGAGCTGTGACCCTGAGCCAGTGGCTTAGCTCTCTGAACCTGGGCCTCATTTCTCCTCTCTGATGTGGGAGTAATAGTGCTCCTCTCACTCTTGTTTGTGCGGCTACTTAGCACAGTGTCAGACACGTGATACTTGTAATCAGCAGCAGCACAAAGTGTGCAAGGACCAATATATCAGATAGTAGGGGCCATGGTGGCGTTGTGGCTGCGAACTGGGCTGCCGACTGCAAGATTAGCAGTCAAAACCACCAGCTGCTCCTTTGGAGTCAGATGGCGTGGGCTTTCTACTCCCTTAAAGAGCGACACTCTCAGAAACTCACAGGGGCAGTTCTGTCCTGTCCTACAGGGTCACTGTGAGCCGGCATCGACTCCGTGGCTGTGCATTTTGATTTGAGAGGCTCCCCAAAGTGTTGTCATTGGGCCACAGAGGAGCGTACATTTTTAAATACCCACCAAGCTATGAGGGAGGAATACCTGATAGTTGGATTCCTTTCAAATGAGTATGGCCCCTTAAAGGAGATTAGTCAGCAGATGGCTCAGAGGCCGTCTGACCAGGAGACAGCAAGCAGGTAGCTCCTCTGTCTCACAGCTTACCGCATGCCTGCTTGTGTTTGGGAGCTCTGTGTGGGGCCTTTACCTCAGGCTCGATGAACACCACTCTTGAATTTGTCCAGCTGAATCTCCTACAGTGAAGCCTTCTAATTACCCCCCTGGGCTGCTACCAGCAGCACCCCCTTTCACAGTGCCAGTGGTCGGAGACACCAGGTGACTGCATGCAGACCAAAGGCCAGGCAAGATGGAAACTCATACCTGGCCCACGGGCCCCCCGCCCCCCAAGCTGGGAGTTGAACTTTGATCTCCAGAGGGGACAGAGTTTTGCACTGCTATCTCTCCTGTCACCGTAACACCCCATAGTCTTCTGTAGACGCAGCCCTTAAGGTTTAGTTGCATCAAACATTGTTTTGCTAATGTCCTTACAGTCCAACCTAGCACTGATGATTATGGGACTGAACTACTGAGACGGTACCACGAAAACCTCTTGGAGATTTTCACCGACAGCCAGCTGTTACTCGAGGTGATCTCCCGGGCGGACTGCTTTGCCCCTGAAGAAAGAGAGGTAAGCGAAGGAGAACGAGGCAGAAGAAGGAGGCCAGGGCGGTGGGGGAGGGGACAGAATGAGAGGCAAGATGGAAACAGGTGTCCTGTGTTTGTGTATTTCTAACTGACACAGACATCCGTGTTGCACAGCCATATGAGAACTGCTCCGAGCCTGGCTAGTGTCAGTAAAGAAGGAGAGGTGGAGGCGAGCTGATTTCTAGGGCGGAGTGACAGGCAGTTTCTATAGTGACAAAGAAGGGGAAGACTGAGGAACACAGTTGTGTGTAAGAAACCTCAAATCCAGAGAGGCCTGGAGAGAAGGTGAAGAGTGTTGAAAATTTCTCCCCAGAAATACGTTCGCTGTCACCTAATACCCATACTTGCAATAATGTGACGGGGCCAGTGGTGAGCAAGTCCCTTATGTGTGTGTTTGTGCTGCCTCTTGAAGGTCATGGAGCAGCTTGTGAAACGTGACTCTGGCTCAGGAGGCTTCAGTTCTCTGCTCTCAGCAGTTCTAGAAAAGCAGGCTCTCTCTGCCACGGCCATTTGGCAACTGCTGCTGGCGGCTCAAGAGGCAGAGACTTGCCCATTGAACTTGCTCATGAAAGAAATACAGAAGGATCCTGGGGCCAGAGCTTTCTTCCGGGCAGGTGAGTTACCCAACCTCAGCCGTAGCTCAGGCCTGCTAGAGATTACTGCCAGTCCTCCCGGAAAAGAAACGGAACCCTCTTTCCATACTCCACTTCCCTGCTCTCAAAGGGACCATGTAAGGCTGGGCACTCTGTCCAAGGACACAGGAGTTGGTGACCCTGCATGGAAACACACCCAGTGCTTACACTAAGCTTCAAGTCATCAATCCAGCCAGCCATTTGCTGCACGCCCACCTGCAGGCTGGAGAGAAGCAAAGTGCGCTCTCGTTGTTGAGCTGAGGAGAAGGGGGGAGATGGTGCTCATGGTTTCACCACTCACCCCTCATTTTCAGTGACCACACCAGAAAGTGCTGCCCTAGAAATCATCCTGCGGCAGAAGAGGCCGATCCTGGAGGCCCTCGAGCAGCGAGCGGACCTGAAGCACTGTGCCTCGGGGGACGAGCACCTGGCAGAGACGGTGAAGGAGGTGTGGTGGGAATACAGTCAAGTTGCTTTGCAGCGAGTTTCCCGTGATGCCTGGAACTCCCTTCATCCCAAAGGGAGGAGTCGGTGCCAGGAGAGGGCCGGGTCCTGTGCCAAGCTGCCTGCTCTTCTGCCTTTGTGACCCTCACAGCTCCAGGTGGTAGGTGACACCACCTGCCTTTCACAGAGAAGGGCACTCCAACCTCAAGGGCGTAAGAAGCACGCCTAGGGTGCGGCATTGGCAAGAGGCGACACCAGGATTTGAACCCAAATCCATCAGATTCATGTGACTAGAGTTACTTTGTTTAGAGCGAGGGACATCTCCTTGGGAACAGTGTGATACGGCTCTGTCGGTACCATGTTCTAAGAAACAACAACTTTCAGATGAAGTAAAGTGAAACGGGTCTTATTACGTGCTCTATCCTGGCTCCTTGAAAGAGCCAAGATAAACATAGATAGAACAAAGTGCTTGCCCATATGGGGTAGCAAATAGTGCCAACTCATTTTCTGTAAGGCTTCTCACAATGTGGCCGGCATCCCAGAAGAACCAGGTGGGGATGGAGGAGGTGGGGGATTTCGTGCATGTCCAGCCCAGGACCATGTGTGTCTTGGGTGGGAGACGATTACCAAGGAACATAAGCTCCAGCCACAAGTTCACCTGTAGTGCCTTTTGATCCTAGAAGGCCTGGGATCTGTGCAGAAAGCCCGGTTCCTAACTGTCCACACAGGCACCAGCCCCATTTGGTTTGACTCTCAGATGAGAAGGAGGAGGTACGCGCTTTGCTGGGGCTGCTGGGGAGAGGTTTGTCGGCTCGAGTCTCTGCAGCATGCCACAGTTCGAGCTGGGCTTTCTGCAGTTGGTCAGTTCTCGCCTGGCTAATTAGTCTCATGCCTGCCTCCAGGGACATCGGGTTTATTTAAATAGACTTGAAAAGAGCAGAAATAAAATATCTTCCAAAATGAAAATTCCATTTGGCCATCTGTGAATGGTTTCAATTTGTTTTCTCAGCATCCCGACTTTTTCTGCTGATGGCTCTACCATTCTGAAAGAGGACAGCTTTGAGATAATATTCCTGGCCCTTTGGAGGCCTGTGTTTGAGCCTTCTTTAGCAAGCTGAGTTTTCCTTTGGAGAGAAAGTGACGTTTCAAAGGGTGTATCGAAGTATCTAAAAATATAGAGCCAGTGATCATGCAGAATTACTTCCAGACAATGATGCATTATGAAAAATTACCACCTCCTCCAGACAGAAACATCTAACGCTTTCCAAGTGTGCGTCATGAGGGTCTAGAGAAGTTCTTGGGGAAGACTCGTGGTTTCTGAGAAGATAATTTCTCGTGGAAAATGCCCGATGGGTCTCTGCTGCCCGCCCCTTCTTTGTATCTGATGTTGGTCTTGACACATCGCCCTTTTTTATTCTGTTCAGTCCCCTTTTCTTTGGAAATGGGGTCTCCACTGCATGGGCCCTGGAGAGTGCCGACTGCGTCCAGCTGAGCCGTGCTCCTGGAGTCAGCTGTGCTGCCTTGTTTGTGTGCGTTGACGCCCACGGAGACACTGCTGGTGCTCACCCACACCTGTGTCTCCTGGTATTCCTTTAGATCCTGAGCATTTCCGCTGAGACTGCCAGCCCTGAAGCTTCCCTGAGAGCCCTGCTGAGCCGAGCCACGGAAAAATCCGTCTCGGCTATTGAAATCTGCCACTTCCTGTGCCGCATGCACACATCGTCTCGAGGCCTGCAGCCGGTCATGCAGGAGTTAGCGCGTGTGGGTAAGAAACAAGCTGCAGGGGGAGAGGGGTTGCTGCCAGCCTCCCGGGCTGTTTCCCAGTTGGAGAGAAGAAGCCGCTGCCCCTGTGAGAACTCATTGCTGTTGTAAATCTTTGTGCCCTCGACACCTAGAGAAGTCAGGCGCCAGCCGCCCAGTGGCGCTCTTTGTGTTGAGGAGACCGTGATGGTGACGGTGCTGCCACATCAGAGCTCTTGTAGGGTCTCTAGTTGTAAGCTGGGTGCCTCACAGCATTCGAAAGCAGAGACCCAGAGGGCTCCCGGAGCCACGAGCTCTCTGTCCCGTGCAGGTTTTCTCAGTAAGGAAGCTGGGCAGCGGGACGTGTGGAAGGTGAGTAAGATGTTTCACCCTGGAGCCAGCGAGAAGGCAGGTGAAAAGACAGCTGAGCCAGCCGAAGAAGACGGCCAGCCCGGGAGGCAGGACGACGACGACGAGGGCGAGACGGGTCCGTTGCCCGAGCTGGAGAAGGATGCTTCTGGCTCCCCAGACGCTGCCAAGAAGAGCTTCGTCTGTAAGGCCTGTGACAAAAGCTTCCATTTCTACTGCCGCCTGAAGGTGCACATGAGGCGCTGCCGGGTGGCCAAGAGCCAGCAGGTGCAGCGCAAGGAGCGTGGCGAGGCCGAGGGTCCTCGGAAGGAGCTGGAGAGGTGCCAGCTGGAGGCCCATGACGCGGACAGTGCGGTCGAGTCTTGCGCCCCCAAGAAGAAGAAGAAGCGGCTCCCCGTGACATGCGACCTCTGTGGCAGGGAGTTTGCTCATGCCTCAGGTATGTCTGGGAAGACGGAGCCAGGTGTTGTCCTTGGGACCCCAGGCCTTGCCCCTGGTTGTGTGTAGTCATGGGGGAAATGGACAGGCTTAGATAACAAGGTGGGGCTGGTTTGGGGAAGAATGTGTGGTGTGGAGTCTTTAACTCCCTCGTAGGTACCATAATACCACCTACTTGATTGGAAGATTTAAATAGTATTAACTCCCACTTAGAGTGCCCAGCACAGAGCTAGCACTCAGTACCTCGTAGCTGCTGTGATTCGTAATACTAATGATCCAACAAGGGAGCCCCCGACTCACGGGCTTTGAGGTCCCATTTATTTCTTGGTAATACATAAGTGGGTTTCCCTTCCCTTTCGCTGGTGGCTTGTTCTTATTTAAGAGAGAAAGGTGGCAGGGAATTGGAACCGAGGCTCACTTCTTGCCTGATGCATACAAGCGTGGGGTCGCTTTGGGAGCCTGGAGTCATGTTATGGAGCTGAGTGACGTCAGAGCCAGCCTGGCCTGGGCCCCGGGCAGGCTGCTGTCTTCCGTGGAGCCCGCCTCTGGAGCTGCACTGCCACCGCGTGGTGCTGTGCTGGCCCGTCACATTGATGCCCAGTGTCTCCCTGTCCCCTGGCTCGGTGTCTAGGCATGCAGTATCACAGACTGACCGAGCACTTCGACGAGAAACCCTTCTCCTGTGAAGAGTGTGGTGCAAAGTTTGCAGCCAACTCCACCCTGAAGAACCACCTTCGCCTTCACACGGGGGACCGCCCGTTCATGTGCAAGCACTGCCTCATGACCTTCACCCAGGCCTCTGCCCTGGCCTACCACACCAAGAAGAAGCACTCGGAAGGTCAGGCTCGCAGAACTGCTTCTGGTCTACTGCAGGCTTTCTGTGTCGGCTGCCTGATGGTGCCAAGTACGGGCCATGGGGAAGTTACCGCTAACCCCCAAACCGACAGCCAGGCATTCCATATGTTTTTACAAGTGGAGACTGTAGCAATAACGATGGATTGGATATGGGATATGGGGGAAAAGAGGAATAATGGATGGCTTTGATATCTTTAAGTACAGCAGGTTACCCATGGAGCGAACCGAAAGGTCAGTGGTTCCAACCCACCAGTCACCCCCTCTGAGGGAGCAAGATTGAGATTGTGGGCTTTCCTAATGGTTCCTAGCCCCAGGGACCCTGTGGGGTCCGCCCCATCCCACCCTGTGAATCAGAATGGACTTGATGGCCCTGCATTTGGGGGTCTTAGGTCTGGGCGCCTCAGGGAAGGGTGCTGCTGTTTCCTGAGGTGGGAGGAGCTGGGGGTGCGGTGGAGGCTGCAGGGCTGGAGAAGCAGGAGGTCTGTGTGGATAGGGCACATCCGTGATGCCGTGTGTACCTCCTCCACGTGGGTGAAGGGAGTAGCAGAAGCCTGGGTATGTGAGGCTAGAGTTCGGGGAAAAGGCAGAGGGTGGATGTACGAATGTGAGGGCTACAACCGACGAGATGGTATATGAGGCTGCGGGGGGGTGGGGGCGGAAGCACCTGGAGAGTGGGGCTAGAGAAGAAGTCCTAGGACAGCGCCGCAGACTGCTCCTAATCTAACAAACTCTTGTTTCAGAGTCTGAGCCTCGAGCCGGGGTTTGGGGTTATGGTTGCGGGAGGCCGAGGAGTCAGGGCGCCAGGGCCTCACCTGCTCATTGATGCCCCGAGTCTTCCCCCGGCTCCAGAAGAGGCTTGCACATACAACTGCCCCGGCACTTTCCAGAGTGTTCTGTCAGTTGTCTGTTTGTCTGTGTTTTCTCTGGCAGACTGGTCATGACATGCTCCTCGTGTGTGCGAGGAAGGAGAACCCAGGGTGTGTAGTAACCGTGCACGCAGCAGGGCCTCCTTTCTTCTCTGGAGCCTGGCGCCCACCTTTGTGTGCCGTCACGGTCTCCCTGCCGGGTCTAAGGAGACAGCCGCTGCTGGGAGCGCAGGAGCCCTCCCCATGCTGTGGCCAGGCCTCGGGTTGGAAGAGCACACGCACGCCCCTTCTGTGGGCTCCGTCACAGCTGCACAGGGCCATCTGATGAGAGGCTGACGGCACTGCCTGCTCTTCCATGTTGCTTTCCAGATCCTGCTGCCTTGGGCTCGTCCTCGGGAGTAGTTGTGTCGTAGGAGTTCTATAAGTGTGCAGGAGCTCTCACAGAATCATCCCGTGTGTTTCCAGGGAAAATGTATGCCTGCCAGTACTGTGATGCTGTGTTCGCCCAGTCCATTGAGCTCTCCCGCCACGTGAGGACCCACACTGGGGACAAGCCATACGTCTGCAGGGACTGTGGCAAGGGCTTTCGGCAAGCCAACGGCCTCTCCATCCACCTGCACACCTTTCACAGTACGTACGGAGACTGCATGTCAGGCTCAGCATGCTGCCAGGGGTGTCAACCCCAGAGTTGGCCCTGCCCCGGCCCTCCTCTCCTGGGAGATGCAGCGGCTGTGGTTCCCCTGTCAAGGAGAGCAGCATCTGATTGTTGCATGTCGGCCACTTGTCTGGGCTGCTTCCTTGTTCCTTGTGGTCACCTGGTTCTATCCGGCAGACAGAGCCTCTCTGCCTACTGTGTATGCTCATAGCCCACTGAGCTGCTCTCCCCCCTCTCCCTTCTCCGTACGCACCCCTCTTCATAGCAGCACCCCAGGTCCTTTCGGAGGTGAGATAAGATATGCTCTCTGAACTGGCACCTGGTAACTTCCCCTGCCTCCTGCTCAGTATTTTCTCCAAGTAGCTTTGTATTTCTCTCAGCAGGGCATGTCCCCGCCTTCCTTCCCTTCTGCTAGAATTGATCCAGACAAAAGCACACCTTCTTCGGCACATGCACACACACAGGGCGAGGAAGAGAGTCTGATTTCCTAATGGTATCATCAGGAAGTCACGGTGGCCTGGGGTGGCCATGTCACAAGCTACCCAGCCTCTGGTGTGCTGCGGACAGACAGATTGTCATCACAGCCTATGGGCGGTGAAGATCACACCGTCTGAACTGAGGCCTTGGCTCTGCCACAGACTTTACCTCTGTGTGCCCCACATGCCCCTTGTGAACTGGCGAGCAGACTAGTGCCCACTACCTGGGCTGGTGGGAGCTGTGCATTAGATATTGCATGGAATCTCCCAAACACAGAGAGTATGCTCCATCATTTCCGGCCATCATGCGTTCTGGTGACAAGAACAGCCTCTCTCTTCCCATTGCTCAGCAGCAGAGCTTGCTTTTGTATGCCATGAACCTACACCTCTCTTCTGGGCAGCTGAGAGCAAACACAATGGGTGAGAGGCATAGGCCTGTGTCAACACATCCTTGTGGGCCTGCCGCCAGCACAGACTTTGCTAGAGTTCCCATGTGCCCAGCACGGGGCTGAAGTTGTGCAGAATGTGGCCCTGTCACCCAAGGCATTAGTGGGAGGCGGGCTTGACAGTCTACGTACAGTGGGCTTCAGTTTACAGAATTTGGGGTGGGATCCAGCACCACCATTCTGATGTGCCTTGACCTCTTTCCAAAGACATCTGCTTTAGTCTTCTTTTCCAGTGGCATTCCTTGGGGAAGTCAGGAAGGGGAAGACATTACTCATTTTCAGAATGGAGAAGAACCCAGACTTCATTACCATAGCCCTGACATCTGAGGCAGGCCGAGCCGCCAGGCCCCTCCCTCTCCTTTACCACTCCAGGCCTGTTTCCTGGGGTGTGTGGATGGATAGTGGCCGCAGCGTGCTTTAAAAGACAACACAAAACTCAGGTTTCACGAGCTGGTGGTCCCAGGGGAGCTAGTCAAGCATGTCAAATGCTGCTGTGTGGCACAGCCCCGGAGCCCACCTGAATCGATGCACAGATAAGGGTGGCCTGGGCTGGGCCCCCTGTGGGCAAAGGCTCGTGTTATACAACGTTTCGCTTTTTATCGCTTTGAGAAGAAGGGTGGCTGTTCCCACTACAGGGATGGCAAGTACCTTCCTCATGGCAGCCAGCCCTCACTGCTGAGCGATCCCACCCTATTGATGGTGTGGCCTGTTTGGACATGTCACTCAGAGCTGGCCTGTGGAGGGAGAGCAGAAACGGTTGGCCACCCCTACCAACTCCTAGCGGTGACACTGCTGTGTAAGGTGGTGACCCTGGGATTTCCTACGGTAGGGGCGATAGGAGGAGCGATCACTGGGTTATTGGAAGGCTTACATGAGCTTCTGTACATGAAGCATTTAGAGCCGTGCCTGCCATCTGGGCCTCCAGTGACAGCGTTGTTGTCATCCTGTCGGGAGTCAGCGGGAGGCGCTACAGTAGATTAGCAAATCCCGAACTGCCCAGGGCTGCCGGGTACGTGGGGAGCTAGACTTTCACTGGGAAGACGTAAAACAAGGAATTGAACCATCTGATGCTGCAGAAGTGGTCAGTCCCGAAGCTCTGAGGCCGCCTTAGGGTGGACGTGAGTCCTGGAACCCTGGGACCCGCACAGGAGCGCTTGAAAGCCTGCCTTCCATCCGGAGTGGTGCAGTGTCGGCCGCGCCCCTCTCACTGATGGCTGTCTGCCGTGTTTTCTCTCTGTGACCCCCTCTCGGGGAGCAGACATAGAAGACCCCTACGACTGCAAGAAGTGCAGGATGAGCTTCCCCACTCTGCAGGACCACCGCAAGCACATCCACGAGGTGCACTCCAAGGAGTACCACCCCTGCCCCACCTGCGGGAAGATCTTCAGCGCCCCCTCCATGCTGGAACGGCACATGGTGACCCACGTGGGTGGCAAGCCCTTCAGCTGTGGAATCTGCAACAAGGCCTACCAGGTGCCTTCGGGTTCTGGTGGAGGTGGTGGGGTGGGGGAGTGCTCCCGCCAGCCTCTCCTCTGTTCCCCTGGCTGGGGCTTGTAGACCACATCTTGTCCAACTAGGCGGGATAGTCCCGTTTGGCTAGTGATCGTGAAGAGTGCTGTTTGAAATCGCTCTGCTGCTCTGAGGAAAGCTGGTCCACGGGACGTGGTGGGAGCTCTCATTAGAGCAGAGAGTCCTTACTCCCTCGCTGGCCCCCGACATCAACCTGGTCATCAGCTGAGGGCTGCCTCTGCCCTGAGCGCCTCACAGTCTTTAGACCCCATTGATCCCATGTATCAAAGGGCACGGGGATGACGGTGGGGATGCTAACACTACCTGGAAGTGCCTTGTGTAGCAAGTGACTGCTTCCTGTACTCTCGTGAATGGCCCTAGCCTTTTCACACCATGATCAATAGAGCCCATCTAGAACTAAAAACAAAGGCATCTGCCCAACACTCGGAAACCACAGGAAGGGACAGGCCTTGTTAGCATCTCTTTAAGATGTGGAGGCGGAGAGAGGCATACAGGGGTGCCTTCTGGCTCAGCAGAAATCGAGAGCCGTGTGCGAGGCCTTGTGCTGTGGACCCTGGAGAGAGCACAGTGAGACCTGGGCAGGCCGCAGGCACCCTCATGTACAACCCACCACCCTGTCTCCAGCACTTAGCCCTGGCCTAAGAGGCAGGGAGGTGCAGCACAGTGCTGACGAACAGTCCAAAGGCTGGGCTTAGAATCCCAGTCCACCATTTACTACTTGAGTGTCCTTGGACAAGCCATTTGACCCTTTGTGGCCAGCTCCCATCCCCCCTGGAAAGAATATGGCGCCTTTATAGTTGCTATGCAGAACTAATTTATTAAGGACTCTGGCCGGGCTGGTCTCTGGATACACAATTGTCTTGTTCTCACAAATCCCAGTACCCAGCTTAATCAGGAACACACTTCCCTCTCCCTCACACCCTCTTTCCTGGGTTGTCCAGCTTGTTAGAACATTCTGAGATGCTAATCTTTGCCAAATCCTTGCAGCAATTGTCTGGCTTGTGGTACCACAATCGAACTCACCACCCTGACGTGTTTGCTGCCCAGAATCATCGCTCTTCCAAGTTCTCGTCCCTGCAGTGCAGCTCCTGTGACAAAGCCTTCCCCAATGCCACTGAGCACAAGAAGCACATCAAAGCTGAGCATGCAGGTCAGGGTTGTGTGAGGGGGGTGGGAGGGACGGACTCCCTCAGGCCGGTCGGCATCCTGGGCTCTGGTGCAGTGTGATTATGTAATGTGCTTTAAGATGCCACCGCCTGAGGCAGTGGGACTGGCAGGCAGCCCTGACTCCAGCACCAACCGGCTGTGTGTGCCTGGGAGTCCCTTCTGCCTGAGTTGGGGGGACATCCTTAATCCTCACCCACAGGTGATTTGGGAAGGGTCACAGCAGCTAGTGAGTGAGCATCACTTCCCTGAGAGGCCCTGGGCTCCTCCCAGCCACACTGTGGGAGGCCAAGCCCGGCTTGGGGGGGCTCTCGGCTGCCTCACACCAGCAGGTCCTGGGCATGTGGGTTTTGGCACATTGGAAGCACATGTTCGGTGCCAGCCACCTGCCCACGCCAGCCTTGTCTTCTCCAGCTCCACCGAACCAACCTTTTGTTCTTGCCCACAACGTCTCTGCTTGTGCTTTCCACAGACGTCAAGTTCCACGAGTGTGACAAATGTAAGGAGCTCTTCCCCACGCCAGCTCTGCTGCAGGTGCACATCAAGTGCCAGCACTCAGGTTAGTGGCCCCTCCCCGGACTGAGAAGGCCATCACCACCATTCAGGGCTGCACAACTTAACCCTGGCTCCGCCATGGAACCAGCTGTGCCTCCGCTTCCTCACCCGTAAATGGGAACAGTCCCGATACGACCGCAGAAGGTAGCCCAGAATGAAATAGGCCCGTACACAGTTACAAGCCTCAGCTTTGGTCATCACTGTGACTGCTGCTGCTTTCCTTAAGATGCGCAGTCTCAGAAGCTCTCTGTCCCTATGCGTCAGGACAACTCGATGGCAGTGGGTGGCTATGCACTTGGCTGCTAATTGTGAAAGGCTGGCAGTTCCAACCCACTCGCCACTCCACAGGACGAAGATGTGAAAGTGCTAGTCAAAAGATGCGCCCAGTTTCACTGTCAGGAGTTAAAAGCACTGCCAGCTAAACCGGGCTTTCTTTTCAGAATTGGTGGGCTAGTCTAGAGTTAGTTTAGACTCAGATAGAGATCTGCATTTTCTCCCTCACTCTTGTGTGCACGCATTAAAAAAGGCCACAGAAGAGACAAGATTGAGGGTGATAGCTCAGCTTCTGAGAGTAGCCCTCCCTTCCAACTGCTGACAGGTGGCTTCTCCCCAGTGGGACCATGGGAGTGGGTTACTTAGAAAGGATGCCCAGACAGAGCCCGTCGGCTCTGGTCTCTTGCACGTTATGTAAAACTGCCCGCTTTTGATTCTTACTTTGGGGATGTGGCTAAACACATCTGACTCCTCATGCTGTGAGTTAAAGGTCTGTACCATTCCTATCTCCAGGGCTTTCTTCCAACTCTGACACTCGTGTGCCACGTTTTGGCACTGCCACCTTCCGAGTTCATGCAGTGTCATGGGCAGTTAAATCCTGGCTGCTACAAGCTGAAGATGTCCCTGATCCCACTTCATGGAATACAATCAATGAACAAAGTTTTGCCGTCCCCATTATCTGCTGCTGAATAATGGGCTTCAGCAGGGGCCGATTAGCCAGAGTCTAATGCTAATGAAGTGTTAGAAGGCTCCACACCTAGTTCTATAGTTATAATTTTAGATTCTGTTCTCTCAAGAAGGCCCCACACATTCTATGAGCCCCCAGCCCACCCACCCCCACCTCCCTGCCCCCAAAGCCTGAATCTGCCTCTGTACCTGTTCTCCGTCCTCCCTCTCTCAACCTCCCCTGTGCTGGCTTCTCCTAGTCCTTCCACCCACAGCCTGTCCCTCTGCCTCCTACTGCAGGGTCCCAGCCTTTCCGGTGCCTGTATTGCTCGGCCACCTTCCGTTTCCCTGGAGCGCTGCAGCACCACGTCACCACGGAGCACTTCAAGCAGTCCGAGAGCACCTTCCCTTGCGAGCTCTGTGGGGAGCTCTTCACTGCCCAGACCCAGCTGGACAGCCATTTGGAGTCTGAACACCCAAAGGTGGCGGGCACCGAGACTCCGGCCGCTGCCTCACAGACGGTGCAGGTGATTCTGGAGCCCCAGTGCTTGCGGCACCAACACCACTGGCTCAGGTTCTGGAGGTGGCTGCCACAACACCCAGATGTTCTCCTGGGTGCTCTTAACGGACCCTTTGGATAATATGTCCATAGCCAGCAGGATCTAGTAGAAGGGTCTCTGTGAACCTCTTACCAAACAGAACCAAAGATGGTAGGCCATGAGAAATGACCTCTGGGTAGGAGGAGCCAGAACCAAGAACTTCCTGCTATGGGAGGACCAAGGTGCGCGAGCACACACACACACACACACACACACACACACACACACGGTGTGGGAGAGCTTGGAGGAGAGTGGATGAGTCTCAGTGGGGCATGGGGTCACTTTCAGCTGAGGGCTGTTAACAGAGCCTCTGGGCTGGACGTAATACACGCTTGGGCAGGTCTGGCCTCTCATCTCCTTTGGTGAGAAGCTTACCTCTTCTTGACCAGAGCTTGGGTTGGGCCCTCAATTTCTCCCTTGTGACGTTCTTCCGTCTCCTTCAGAGTGGGCGGGGAAGCTCAGGCTCACACTGGTCAGGAGTGTGGTGGACTGGCGGGGCGGAGAGCTGTACTAAGGGCTTATCAGTGGGGCTGTCACACCACGCAGTCCTGTGCTCTGCAGGCCTCTGGGAGGTTGGAGGGGACTCTGCACAGCCCTATCAGCCTGGCACTCTGCTTCTGTCCTCTCTGTAGTTGGGGTCCTGGTATGATCCCGGGGGACAGGGAACACACATTTCATTGCTAGAGAGAATGACGGGGATGTGTGAACAATAATCCCAGGTAACTTGGGGTTCAAGTTTGCAGCTGATCCCTTTGCAGGCTCAGCTCAGGAAAGTGGCCGGGTTCAGCCTCCCTGTTTCTGCCCGCTTATACCGAATGACTGTGTGCTCTCCTGGGCCCATGGGTCAGTCGCACTGTGGGGTGGTTCAGACAGGACCTGAGTGCGTGGAGGAGCCCCTGCTTAGTCCTTGGTGAGATGGGATGGTCGTCGTTAGCAGCGGGGCAGATTTGGAAGGAGCGTGACTTGACTGCTGGAAGGAAGGGGCCGTCAGCCTGCTGAGCCCAGGAAGGTTGAGGATTGGTAGAAGGCCCAGCTCGCCCACCCCACCCTTTCTTTCTCCATAGCCCAGTGGCCAGATGTCCTCCTCACATGGCTCCGAGTTTGACTAGCAGTCTAAAGACACTCTCCCTGGCTGCTGCCTTCAAGCCATCCGGGCTTTGAGGGGTCAGAGGAGGAGAGCAGCTGACACCAGTGGCATTCCTCCCACGTGGCACTTAGTGCTGCAGTGCCCTCCCGAGTGGGGGAGGCCCGAGCCAGTGTGCACTGGTGTGTAATCACAGCCCGGCACCCGAGCTGGCCCACAGAGTGAAATTACAGCAATTTAGCACACGGTTATTTAAATCGTTTCCTGCCCTCTCTTTTGCATCGCCGGTGTGTCAGCCGGGCCTCTTCCCATTAGGCACGTGTAATTGTGCGCCTCAGGTGAAAACATAAAGACCATCATTACAGCCGGAGAGGGAAGCCATGCAAATTCTGGGAACTCAGTCTGGACACTGCCCCAGCAGCCTCGTGTTTTTCCCTTGCAGGTGACCCAGGCGCCGGCGCCGGCGGCCCCTGCTGAGCAGGTGATCACGCTGGAGGAGACCCAGCTGGCTGGCTCCCAGGTGTTTGTGACTCTGCCAGATTCCCAGGCCTCTCAGCACAGCTCTGAGCTGGTGGCAGTGACAGTGGAGGATTTGCTAGATGGGACCGTGACCCTGATCTATGGGGAGGCCAAGTGAGTGGCTGGCCATGCTCCGCAAGGACCCTGAGACTCCTCCCAAAGAGCGCCCCACAGCTTGTTTCCCACCTTCTGACCCCACTGTCCTAAGGGGGAGGGGTTCTACCTGAGCCCCAGCCCAGGTGGCCTCACCAGTGTTCTTGTGGCGCTGACAGTGAGTCCCGTCATCCACAGCAGGCAGGAGGATGACCTGGCTTGGATTCGTGGGCCTGCTGCTCTGCTCTCTGCCCTCACCCGTCCCCAGATAAGTTGTCACTTCTAAAGTGGAGGCTGAAGGAGCGGTGGGCTAGGAACTGATGGATCAAGGTTGCCAGAAAGCACATTGTGCTGGCTGCCCTCTGTACAGCGTGGCACGGCCCCATGTGGGGCTGCCAGAATAACCAGCAGAGCCTCCCAGCGCCCAGCCCTTCCTCCTCCTATCCGGCCCCCACCCCACCCCCGCGGTGGCAGAGGGACAGGAAGCCCCTACATAGTCTCCCAGAGTACAGGGCTGTTGCTGCTGGAGAGTCTCATGCCAGGCCACCGCCCTCAGTACCTGGGGTTGGCCCCGCGCCGCCTCAGGCCAAGACGTGAGGTTCTGTCTACTGTGGACTAGCAGCCTTGCCGGTGCCACCCGCTCCCACCATGGCCTCCCTGCTGTGGCAGCCTGCTCCTGTCGCTCTTGACAGGCCACCCTGTAGCCACCAGTCATCGGACCTTGGCCACTTGCTTCTCTTTCGTTGGTAAAATATGATCTGACAATGGCATGTGGGCTCCATCAGGAAGTGCACTGAGATGGATGTGGGCCTCTGCCGTTTGGGGCATGACTAGCATTCGTCTTCCTCCCCCCCAAAAGCTTGGGGTTTGCCCAGGCGACATGGACACACCAGCAGGACTCCCGGGCTGGTGGCTGGCTCCGCCCAGGGGCAGTGCTCAGTTTAATCGCGTACCTCAAGCCCCATGCTGACGGGAACAGCCCACCACCTCTTCCCAAGCACACCCCAAGTGGCCCTGCCCAAATAGGAGGGGGTTGGCTCTGCAGTCTGGTCGGAGCTCTCTGCCATGCAGTCAGCTTGCACACTGCAGGGTGCAAAAGATGGAGCCTTGACACTGGTCCATCTGCTCCAAGCACGCTGGCCACCAGCAAGCTGCAGGCAGCCCTGGACCAGCATCCTCAGCGAGCAGCCGGCTGCCCGCCTCCGATAGTGGCCTCATTCTCATGTGCAGATCACCTTGGTCTGTCAGAACTGGGATCTTCCCATTCCCCAGCAAAAGTGTTCCCAGAAGAGTCCGCCTCAGACGCTGAAAACTGACCAGAAGATGGCGCTCAAACCTTGAGGACTTCGCCTCCCCGTGAGGGCCTGGCTAGGCTGCCCCAGCTCCCACAGAGAGCTGTCGGGCCAGGAGAGCTCTTGATCTGCAAGCAGCAAAGGGGAACTGAGGCTCCTTTGGGCTCGAATGAAACCGGCTGAAAGGAGTTGGGGGTCGGGGGGGGGCACACACACCTAAAGGGCCCTGTTGCCAAGCCCTATGGGTAAGAATGCAGGTGCCCATAAGCCAGAGGCAGTGCCGTTGTCTCCCAGACAAAAAACAAAACCAGAACAATTAATTGCTGCGGCCCTGTCAGGGAAAGTGATCTTTAAAAGCCTTCTGAGTAGAGAAAGATACACAGTTAGACCCAAGCTTCAGATCCTTGCAAGCAAGGAGATGCCCTTCTCGGCTTTCTGAGGAGACCCAGACTGAGAGAGGACACTTGTTTTCCCAGCGCACGCAGTGCACTAGACAGTGCATGGGCAAGGCAGGGCGGCAGGGCTGCTGGGTCGGTCCTCGGTCCTCGGCAAGAGTAGGTTAAGGTCTGCCTGGACTGTGGTTTGCGCTGCTGGTTAGCCTCATGAAGAGGCGTATTTGCTGGCTGTGACTTGACAGTGTCCCCAAGGCTTTCCCCACTCAACTTGGACACTTTATTCTTTCCTCCTACGTCTCCCCAAGAGGCCTTCAGAATGGCTGTCCCCGGGGACACACTCAGACGAGTCTGCCTCATCTGCGCTCCTTATGGCAGTGGGGGTGGGTTTGCCTCGTTCCCACAGGTGCCAGCCTCCTGGCCCCTGGGCTCACTGGTGGCCTGTGCTGTGGGGAGGCGGTGGCTGCAGGCTTCGGGGAACCTGTGGGTCTGGTGCAGTGGACACCGGAGCTGCCTCTGCTCCCATAGCCCAATCACCAAACTGGGAGGAGGGAAGGGTGTTCCCATTCCAAGCTAGAATCTAGTTCCAGGGGGACCATGGGACCAGGACTTGTCCGTCAGATAAGTGAGCAGCACACAGACAGTTCCGGTGAGCTTGGCCTAGGAAGACTGAGCTCCTGCCATCTCGGGAACTGAGGGGACCTGAGACAACGGCTTGATTTGTGGGTCTTGAACAGCCTGCCTCTTCACTCAGAAGCTTCAAGTAGAAGTTTGAGCCCAGCGTGAATACTGGGTCCCCCCTGACCCCCACCTCCACGGACTCCAGGAAGTATAGCATCCTCATCTCTGAGGGTGGACCCCTGACTGGCTGGGGAGGGCAGGGCAGACAGATAGACGGCCACTGGGCAGCAGAGCCTGCCCTCTCCTTACGAAATCAGGTGAACTCTCAGGAGTGAAGCCCCAGAGTGACCCTGGCCCCAGCTGTTGGCCTTCCTTTCCCCACAACTGGAGGGGACAGGCGTGCAGGTGAAGTGGTGGTGACGGTGGGGGTGGGGCAGTGCTTTTGTCTTTTGTTTTCAGCTGTGATTAATTTGAAAACCATGAACTGGCTAAGGCATGGAGGGAGCAGTCACCCTCAGACACCAGGGCAGTTGCAGAGAGGTGGGTGGTGTTTCCGTTTTTCGGGCTGGGCTGAAAAGGTGACTGGTGGGACCAAAAAGGCAGGAGGCTTTAATCAGCCCTCCCAAAGGAGGGGCTCCGCAGCCCCCACCCCGCTCTCCTCAGCCAGGGATACAGGCGAATAAGGTAGAAAAGGGGAATTTCCAAACAGAGGGGTTTGAAGGGTGTGTCGGAGGAAACTGGGAATTGTTCTGTTGCCATGGAAAATCCTGGGGCTGGTGGGACCTGGGCCAGCAGCTGGGAAGTGCAGACGGAGACAGGCTCAGAACGTGGGGACACCTATGACTTGGTCTCTGAGAGAAGCTGTCTGTGTGAGGGGCGACATCGCGGAGGGAAAATCACTCCAAATCGTGAACAAGTGCTTTTTTATTTCATCAAGGCCTGCCGCGCCCTTCTACCCATGTGACAGCGAGCGAGATGCTGTTGAATTGTATTACAAACTATTATACATATCCAACTTGTACTAATGTATGTAACTAAAATATGTACTTTGAAGAAAAATAAAGTATGCTTCCTAAGTTTCTAAGGGGCAGTGCTGGTGATGACCGCGTCCTCTTCCCTCCTGGGCAGCTGTCAGCTCAGTGGGGAGGGCTAGAAAGGCCCGGTTTCCTAGCATTGGAAGCAGCAGGGAGGGGTGGTATCCTGTCCGGTGGAGTCTCCCTAACCCTCTTTCCCAGGGTAGTTGGGGTTGAGCTGGGGGCAGAGGAGTTAGTGTTGAAGTCTTTGGTGGCCACCCTGGGTCCCTCCCAGCTCTGGCCCTTGGTACTGTGACACTGAGTTGAGGTGCTTTGTTCGCTAAGCTCCCTCTGCACCCCAGGGAGCCTCCTTGTAGTCAGCTAACAGAAGGGCAGTGTGCATTAAAGTCTGGGCCTAATAAGTGCCGTGTGGGCATCAGCTGTCCTCAACAAAGTCTGTCAGGCCCGGTCAGCTACCCCCTGCACGTGCAGCACGAAGGAGAAGTCCATCCCTGCACCTCTGCGCGTTCCCTCCATATGTCTTCGTCCTCAGCTGGCTCTGAAAGGGTTCCCTGTGACACCCACTCCTGTTCCTCTAGCTGTTGGATCTCCACTGCTCCCGAGCACGGAGTGCTAAGCAGATAACTCATAAAATGAGCAGAAACCTTTCCAGTGAGCAGCTGAGAATGTCACAATGCTGGGAGCCAGCGGGACAGGAGGGAGGGATGCCGATCGCACACACGTGAGCTCAGCAGTCAGAGCCAGTGTGCCGGCCAGGGAGACGGGGCCTGGTCTGCAGCTCAAACCCGGGGTGCTCCTCAGGGACAGGCCTAGGGGAGCACCAGGTGACCCTGGTCTAGACCCACAGAGGCCTTCAGAAAGGAATGACCCTTTGTTGAGAAGCTGGAGCTGTCTTGTGTCCTATTTGGGGCAACGACCCCCAGGGTGTCCCAGGCAGCCTCAAGGCTCCACTCTTACATTGACTGGACACAGGCCATGAAGGTGGGTGTGCACAGAGGTGAGGAACTGTTGGGTATTGGTCAGGCCCAGCCACGTGCAAGGGGTGCCCGGTGATCCTCGGTCTTCTTCCTGGCCAGGACCTGCCGAGGGGGCCTGGCTGCAGGAGGAAAGGATGTGGGCTTGGCAGCTTCCCAGCTCCACTGGAGCCGAGTGACTGATGCGATGTTTCAGCCCCCGATGGCCAAGGTGAATGTTAACATTTGTAAAAGGCCTAGCACGGTAGAGGTGATCACAAATGACAGCTGTTCCTGTTCCCGATACTTGAAAGGGCCGAGAAGGGCAGGCAAGGAGGATGCCTGGCGAGGTGAGGGCCCGGAGCCCAGTGCAGAGTGCCCAGGGTGAGACTGCTTCCTGGGTGGCACCAGACATCCCAGCACCTCTGCTGCAGACCAGAGTGGACAGTACAAAGAGGCTGGAGGCCGGGTTCTCGGCCTGTCGGCAGTGTAGATGAGGGGTCCTCTCTGAATGAAGGCCCTGACCCCTGCAGGCCGGAGAGCACTCCCAATGAGAGCTACAGGATTCCTGCCCGTCCTCCAGCACCGTTTTCCATAGCTCCATGGTACCCTTGGGGAACGGGTGCTCAGGGACACACTTCCCTCAAAGAGCGCTAGCCATGGCCCGTGTGACCGACTGTCCCTCAGGACCAGGACCTCCTCTTTCAGAAACATCCCTAGACTCCCGTAGGCCCTGAGAAGAGTGGGTCTAGGACAGAACCACACTCATTTCTACTTGTGGGTTCTCCCTGGGCTCTCCCCCATGCACCCACCTGTGTCCCCCCCAACACCCAGGGCTACCAGCGTGCAGGGACATGTCTAGCAAGACACTAGTAGTGGTGGTGGTGGTAGCGGTCATTGGATTGACCCCCGACTCGTCGAACAAAAAGCTTCTCAGTCCGGTGGTTATGGATCAGACTACCTAGAGGGTTTCCATTGGCTGATTTTTAAAAGTAGGATCACCAGGCCTTTGTTCCTAGTCTGTCTCAGTCTGGGAGCTCTACTGAAAGCTGTCCCGCACCCCAGCGACACAGGGCCTGGCGCTCACATGGAAAGCCAAAGTTCTACACCTGAATCCCCGGGGCCCCACAAAGGTTGGAGGCAGGAATTTCCTCAGAAGAGAAGCCTGGTGATCAACTCCCTGGCACCCTAGGGCGCACTGTTTTATTCTAGCATGTGTGGGGTCCCCCCAAGGCTAAGAGGGCTTGTTGGCATGTGTCTTCGAGACAGCTGATTCCATCGGTGCTCCCCGTGGGTGGTCAGTGGGTATTCATTCCCTGCTGCTGGAGGAAGAGGCTGCTGGCCTCTCACCTGGCACCAGGGCTCTGGCCAAGGCAGGTGCTTCCCTGTTCTGCAGCTTGCCCACGGCTCCGTCTGAGCGGCTCTTCCCGGCGGTGGGGCAGAGGCGGCACTGGGCCCGTGTTGCACGTGCTCCCGGGATGCTGAGTTTCCCAACTCCCCCTGCACCTGAGCCTGCCTTCTGAGCTTCCCCGCTTTTGTGAGGAAGCAGTCTTGTGTTCTGTGCCTTAATTCATCATAGCTGTATCTTGTGTTGGTCTGGACAACCAGGGGTCAGGAGTCAGGGCTGACTGTCTTGGGGGAGACCGGACACTGAGGCTACAGCCGCCTCCACTCCAGAGTCCAGCTTCATATGTTGATCCCACAGTGAGGCTGTCGCCCTTGGCCTGACTTCTCGGAACAGCCGCCTTTCTTTGTCCTTCGCGGAGAGATTCGCAGAAGGCTAAGAGCAGTGAGCTGGGCACAGCGCACTCCCCAGCTGCTCCGATCAAACCCCGTCCTGCTGGCTCTCCTGGCCCGGTTCCCCAAGTGCAGGCCAGAAACAGGTGATCAACGCAGCCACCCAAGGGCAGTGTGGGGACCTGCAGTACCCCTCAGGGCGGTACACAGACCGGCCGCAGGAGGGGCAGGGTGGGCCTGGACTCCACAGTGCTTCCTGCCATTGAAGGTAGAAGCCTCGGCACTTCACGCAGGGTCCACACGTCCAAGCTGCTCTGAGCACAGGGAACGGAAGCTAAATGCAGAGCCTGGGGAGCTGTGCCTGCGTGGGGTGGGGGGTGGGGTCACCTAAGAAGGAAGTGTTAGGTAGTCTAGCGTAAGGCTGGGGGTCCATTAACGCATGCCCAGAAGGCCATGCTACCGAAACAAAGGAGTGGCGCACTGCACGTGCTCAGAGGTTCAAGTTTCCCGCCAGGTACGTGTAGGTGGGTGCCGCACCTGGATTGGCCCACGTAATTCAATTTAGCCAATGGGGTCGACCAAGGGTCGTCCCCACGCCTCCCCTCTGAATAATTGGAGAAGCAGGAGTCTGGAGTCGACCACGTGATTTTGCGAGCAGTCTCCAGGCAGGCTACATGTTCGGGAGGAGCCCTGTGGGGGCCTGTGTAAACCTGAAACTTTTTCTAACGCTCATCAAACTCACTTGGATCACGAACCAGGTTTCGGCGTGAATTCTTGGTCACGCGGAGCCAAGGACCGAGGTCTATCTAGCCCCGGGGGATCTAACAAGGTGGCTTGGGAGTACGTATGTGATGACTCCATTGTCACAGGACAACTTGAGAGCCCCCCTCGTTCAGCTTCAAGGGCAAGGATTGAGCACCATCCTTTTCACTCAGCCGCCCCACCCCCCACCCAGAGCAGAGACCCCGGCACACAGCTTGTTGAGCAGAACCAGTAGCGTCTACACAGGTCTGTCCTGGACCCGGAGTTCTGGAAGTCTCTGAGCCCCCATCGTGGACCCCGTGGAGGGCAAGAGTGAGTGCATCCGGTAAAACCGTGCCTGGTCACCTGGCTACGTATGAAGGGCAAAGGCCCAGCGCCACCTCCAGCTCAGACTCGGCAGACACCTGCAGCTGCTGCTGTGGGGGCTCATGTCTTTTTTCAAGGGGCGGTGGGGGGGGCACCATTTATGGGGTTCCCATTGAACTAGTATCATCATCCTTCTTCCTGGTAAGTGCTTACCACGTGTTGGACACTGGATTCAGAGCCAGGTCAGTTCTTAGTTGACGACACCATGCCACGGTGGTGTGAGAGCTGGCAGTATCCCAGAGAGGTGCAGCCGCCTGTTCGGAGTTCCACGGGCAGGGAGGAGCGCAGCTGAGACTCCGGCCTGGGCTGCCTGACTACAGTGTTGACTCTCAAGCACCGTGCTGCCCCAAGGATTTGTTTGTTTGGGGTTTTTTTGCTTACTATCTACCCCTGCTGTCCAGTAGATTCCGCCTTGGGGCCTCCCTGAGCCCTGGGCCCCTAAAGGAAACGCTCACAGCACAGCAACTCCTGGATCAGAGAGGACGCGAGCAGACGGTATGAAGTGCAGCATCCAGGCCCAGCTCCAGAGCCAGTCAGCTGCGGCTGCGCGTCCCGCCCTGGCCCTTGCTCCCTGCATGACCCAAGAAAGTTAACTGCATCTTAGCCCTCCTGTCTGCCAAATGGAAGTAATGGAGACCCTTGGGTTTGTGCGGAGATGAAAGAGAATGCCCAGGAGAAGGCTCTGGTCTGGGTGAGGGCACATAGCAGGTACCAAGGCAGAACCACCCCAGCTGTATTCACCGCGCCCCAAAACGCCAGAGCTGCCGCGTGGGGCGAATTGTGCTGCCAAAGCTCAGGTGAGGTGGGCTTGTGTGGGGAGAGGAAGATGAAAAGAAACAGTGGACAGGAAGTCCCCGGAAGGCTGGCGCCAACCATCTGGCTCCTGATTCCCAGGAGCTGGCACAGGGGCGCCCAGGGAACATCTGGTCGGCAGAGCCAGGAGTGCAGCCTGCCCAGAACAAGAGTCCATAAATGCAAGGGAATGTTCCGGAGCCAGTAGGCTTTCCTGGATCCGAGCATGCCCAAGGTTCTAGCATCTGGTTCTGGGCCCAGTGGTGCCCCATGTCTGTGTCTGGGCATGGAGAACGGGACTCCCAGACTGGTGACGCATTTGAAGGGAGGGGCAAGATGAATGCTTGCCCGGCTTATGGCCATGCCAGGCAGCAGCGGTGGTGCTGTGCCCAACTCTTCTCTGGCTCAGCTCTCCAGGGTTTCTTCTGAGCCTCACAGGG